TTCTTTTCGGGTTGCTGTCGGGGGAGCTGCAAGGATTTTCATTCGGGTTGTGCTTAACATAGGAGTTTAGAGTTTTGGTTCTGGATTTGGGGTTTTGGGCTTAAGGTTTAGAGGTTTAGGTATTCGGATTCTGGTATTCAGGTTTTGTGGTTTAGAGTTTAAGGGTTTAGGGTTAGGTCGCTTCTGGGATGACAGAGCCCATCTGTGAGGGGTATAGGTATAGGAATCTAACATAGGGGCCTTAATAATTACCTATATACTGTTGTGGGGGGTTCCTTATTATACTTAGAGCAAGTGGGCCCCAAACCCTATTCTAATTATGAAGCCCCCTAGAGCATCTGGAGTCAGGAGCTGCGTCGTTTGGTGTTTATTGGTAATACAAGTTTTCTAGCTGACGTCTGTTCAGGCCCAGTGATGAACCAGGCGTCCAGCGTTTGCGTTTGGTGGCTGTCCGGGTTTACTTCACAGTTGACCAGGTTGGTCTTTGTGGCACTGTTTGAACATGGTGATATGGAATGCTCAAGCGGGGACGATGTGCTAATGTAGGGGCTTAAATAATTACCGATACTATTTCGGCGGGTTCCTTATTACAATTATCGTAAATTGATATCGGGGCCCCAAAACCCCATTCAAATCATTAAGGCCGCTACATTACAACTGTCTGTCGGGAGCTCTAAGCCAAGTGCGTGGTATGTTTGCGAGTCGATCAGCACCGGACTTAGCAGGAGGCATCGAGATTGCTGACGTTTGATTAGCCGAGCAATACCATGGTACACCGGTACACCCATATCGTCAGGGTTTTGCGAAAAAAACGGTATCGAGCTGAACATGAGAACAATCTCGCTTTCACTCGGTGCATTGGTATTGTCGCAGCCAGCGCATGAGGAAACCAGGAGGCTGTGTGGAAGGTCCTGAGACTTTGGTTCGAGTGCTGAATTATGGCTGGTGGTGAGTGTGGTCTCGTCTGTGCAGACGGTTCGTATCGGTGCCGGATGTAAACTTGCACAGTTTTTGGGCCTCTGTTAATGCCATGAGGATTCCCGCAGCCGTCATCAAGGTCAGATCTGGAGCTTCAGAGCTTAGTGCGAAGTCGTGTAGTAGGGTTTTGGCACGGGGTAATCCTTTCAGTGAAAGCTTGGTATGGTAAGTGTTCGTACCGGCCACAGGGGACCTCAAATAACATATCTTCCTCTTCTTCCACATGCATGATGACAGTGTGGTGAGTTTGCAATGTTTCTCAGACTGGCCTTTTTCGCATCTGCGGAAGCCGTACTCGTACCTGACGTTTCCCGGTTGCCTTGGCCCCTGCATGTTGTTGGAAGCGAGGTCCGTGCTCTGAAATTCGAGACCCAAACTCCCTTCAATGGGCCAGGTTACCACATCCTCTGGATTCGCAACCGAGATGGAGTTTGACTTGAAGGGATGCAGGAACTCGTTTTCTAACAATTTCGGTCCTTGGCAACCTGTTTCATATGATGTACGCAAATAGAAGGCCCTAATACTGCTTACTCTGGTTCGATTCCTTTCGTCCCTATTTAGCTGAATTCTCCACACAAGACCGAGGACCGAGGACCCATTTCAAATCACGCCCAAACTTTTCTTGTAGCCACAAGCTTACCGTTGAATAGATACGTCTGTTGTTATATGTCAGTGTTCCCTTTATCATCTCAGATTTTACTACATGTGAGTTAGAAAGAAAAAATGCCATCAAATGCGGCCTGGCCATTTGCCGATGCATTCGTGCACAAAGACTTGGATAGAGAGGACGCGATTGGTTGGAAAACAGGCGCGCCATCCGCCCATCTGCTCCAACTCCTAGACAGGAACTTTCCCAGAGCGTTCCGGACACAGTCTATTGTTGTTTTGCCAGGTTTGTCAGGGTTCATGGACCCAGATGTGCTTGTGATGGGTAGTCTGGCTATCGAATTCTGCACTGGAACCATTTACCATTTGTGGCGGGTTGGTTTCAGATGAGAAAACCGTGGTGCATTCTCAACCATATAGCATGATAAAGTTTCATAAAACCCCAAACCCGTGACCCATAGGCTGAAGGCAGCCAGTGGCGCGATCCTAGCAAATACACACCAGATTTTCGGTTGAATCGAAGCTGTACCGTGTAGGGTTAATTTAAGTTACTTGAGGGTTAGGGTTTCAGCGTTTAGGGCGTTGCCATATGGGTTGAACGCAGGGGCTACACTTTGTGTAGGGCAATGTAGGGTTACCAGGGTTTCATATGTGGCCCATATAGCGATCTCAGTACCGTGCATGGGCAGAAGCATTCGTGTTGCATCAGGATTTTGCAGTATCATAGTTGCCATAGCCAGAATACAACAAGCAATCTCAGGATTTTTCCATCGGCAGTATTACGGCTCGGGTAGGCGGTTATCTGTGCAAGCAGTACGCACACGATGGCCAGCTGGCCTGACACAACATTGAGACATAGTGGTAAGACCCGAAACGACATGTTCCATGCGTGCTCTACATCGGATGGCTGGACGGATCCGCATAGAGCGTGTGTGTAACATAGTAGTTGTTGATGTTGCTGGTGTCTGGTACTTCTGTTACGTGTTGAGTCTGTGCAGATGTTTCCCGACAGGGGTTCCGTGCCGTCTCAGAAAGGGGGTACTTCGCAAGTTTTCTAACACTGTCTGCAGGATCAGTTCCGATCATTATTGAGGCTCCGGTACTAAGTCCTTGCATGTATGCCGCTGTGTTCCAGCTTTCGGTTTCCGGTCGTCAGGCGAAAAGGGCGGCAAGAACGGTGGCCGTCGCAAGCGCGGGGGCAAAGGCGGCAAGGGCGGTGGCGGCGGTGGCGGCGGTGGTGGAGGCTCCAGCAAATTTAAGATGAGCCCTTCCTAGAGAGCGATTAAGGTTCGAGGTTTTCAGTTTTAGGTTAGTTGCAGGCAAGGCGCCCCTGAACCCGAACCCTAAACCCGCAGCCCTCGCTTATCGTACACTGTCAAAACCTGCAAGTTGGGCGAGTGGATGGTGGTCATGTAGCAAGAATCCGTCGCGTTTAGGGTTGGGATCCCCGTATGTCCTTCCAACATTGATATAGTATGATTCGCAGAGCGAGACTATTGAAACGAATTAAGGCCTCGGTCTTAAGCCCAGTCAACTCTGTTGATTTCTGTTGAAGCCCTGTAAATTGCCTAGAATGCCCTTATCGCCCCCGATATGACACCCTATCCTAAACCCTTAAACAAGCACTGTTCAAGGGTTCCGATATCATGCGAGATCGAGGCACCTTGGGGCCTATGTATGGAGGGTGCTTTATAGAAGATGTTTATACGGTTCGTACTTTTTTGAATGGCTGTTACGGGCTGTTGCTCAAATCCGCAACACCCTGGTCCGATTACTTAGGCGCTTACTGTACTGTTCAAGAGCTCTTTGTCTAGGTTCCTGAGTAGTACCCTTTTGCCCTTTTTTGTGTGGGGTTTCCTTATGAAAACTGAGCATCAGAGGAACAAGAGCACCCTTACTAGTAAGGGGCTACTGTCATTTGCAACAACATGCCAACTTTGAGGCCCTCGAGGACCTTTGGGTTGTCAATTTCGGAAGGTTTTCAAGGCTTAACTTAGGGCACCGGAATTCAGGATTGTGCAGTTTGGGTGCAGAGTATGCGGCGCAGCATTTAGTCCGTATATGTTCGATAACTGAGTACACACAGGTACCGTGTGTGTGAGAGAGAGAGTGTGTGCGAGAGTCGTGGTGTTTACGTTTGTGCATATATATATATATACATATATTTCGCATGTGCACGAACACCATATATACACACACACGCATATATATATATATATATATATGTATATATATATGTATATATACACACACGCAGAAATGCTTACATATACATATATGTCTATATTTACACATATACTTACACACATGCATGCATGTGCAAGAAGAAGCAAGTAAGCAAATGGACCAATGAGTAAACCACAGAACAGCCAAATTAAGGCAACAATCAACACATGCATGCATGCATGAAAGCATACGTACATACTCTTGCGGACGCAACGAAGAGAGGTCTTCGCCAAGCGGGTCAGAGCATATCGCGTTTTGCGATACGATGCCTCTTATGGGCAATGAGCCATGACAGAATTGTCAATGGCTAGTGCACTACACTCTGCTCGTAGTCTCATCTCCATCCTGGCATGCAATATACCAAATCAAATAAGTTTCTGCAGGGATAGCGGCAATCTCGGATGCTGTGCAGGCTCGAGCTGTGCGTGAGTCATCAAGAAGCAGCAGAGTATCGGCGCTTTTCCAGACACATATGTAGTGCCCCTGATCAACGGTCGCTCCCCGATGCAAAATCAGAGCTGCAGCGTTAAAGCGTCGAGGATGGGCATCAAGATTGTGAGTATTGCAGAACTGTGGGATCTGGATGTCATCAAGGAGGCCAGTGATGGGTCTAAGGTCCTTGCCAACAGGTCGTCGGCGCTGGGTGCGCATGGCACGAGTGCGAAACCTGAGAAGCTGTATTCCGAGAGTATTGACAGCTTGATAAGGAGCAAGTGCATGAGTCTGGGACTGCTTATGCCAGGCCCGAACACAGTCGGCCAAGCTGGTATGCCCCTGAATTGGCAGGGGGAGTGCATGATGCAGGCTTCCCTCGTCGTGCAGTTGCAGACCGTGGCCTGCATCCATTCGGCGGGCTTCCCACCTCCCCTCGACGGAGGGTAGCCGTAGTCTGCACAGCATATGAGCAAGGAATTCGGCAGCATCATTTTGCACAAATAACCGTGGCCATGGACTCATCATCATCACCCATGAGAGGTTGTGACTTGGATCAAAGTTCTGAGGTTGGCGCTGGATAGCACCCCAGAGGTGACACAATTGTCCAAGAGCAGCCTGATCGCGCGGTCGAAGGACTGCTAACACATAAAGAATGGCATGCAAGGCACTATTCATATAGCATGTGGTAGCACTCGGATTTGCAAGGCTGATGGAATGCAAAGGAAATCCAAGGAGGAAGCATTGAGGAGCAGACCTCACCAGACCTGGGCCTGGATGCTCTGGGCTAGGCCCGAGTACGGATAGCGGTTCCGCCGGAGTCGGGCGGCAAGAAGGTGGAGCGCTGCACTGCCGATGAGATCGTTGAAAATAGTCCACAATTTGTCGCCTGGTCCGCGTAGTTGAACTTCCACCAGGAACTGCACCCAGTCCGTTTGGTACGACTCGCGAAGCTGTCTCATGGACTTGAAGTTCTTAATGGAGTCTCCCGTGATCAGCTCTTCCATCTCCTGGATCATGGTCAGGATCTCTTCGGTGGACCTGGATTCCTGGCGCTCCGTCAGAACTAGTTCCTGCTTGATTGGGCACCAATGCATGTAGTTCCAATGCCCCAGGCTGTCTAACCACTGCAGGCGTTGTCCTGTGATCTTGGTCTCCTCGCTCTTCTGGAAGGCCTGAAGGCGGGTTTTCCACTCCTTGAGCAGACCCCGGATCATAATCTCCCGTAGTGACATCGTGAGCTTTGTCGGAGTGGTTTCCATCGTCTGTCTCCATTCCGTCGCGAGCTGCAACATCATCGGTAGCACGGAGTACTCCTGGTTCGGTTTGAGATACAGGAAGAGGCGAGTGTCCTGTTGGAGGATATGAAGTTGCTGCTCGTGCCGCAATGTCATTCGGGCAACCTGCATCAACAGGGTGCTGGAAGACTCCGCTGTGGTCAGGCTCGGTCCGGACCATCCGCTCATGCTCCACGAGTCCGGATCGGTCCATGTATCCAGAGTCCAGGGATCCGTGCGATTTGTCACCTCGGTAGAGGACTGTGGTCCCTTGCTCTTGCCTTTGCCCTTGCCCTTGTTCTTGCCTGCATGCTTGCCCTGCCCCTTGACCTTGCCTTTGCCCTTGGGGACTGATGTCGGTGTGGCCGTCGATCGAGGAAGGGAGGCTTCGTCGGGCACTGGAGTCATGACAGCATCCCTCTGTTCGGGTCGTGGGCGTTTCTGCGCAGCCTGGCCGCTCGTTGCCGTGTTGCTGAAGCTGTTGAAGAGGTGGCCAAACATCTCCAGCTCCTGATTTTTGGCATTGATCGAGGCCTCCGGCTGTGGCTGGGGTGTCGCCGCCATGTTGCCCGTGGCTGGCAGGGTCATGACTCCTATGTTCAAGATAACAGGCAATAGTGATGACCGGACATCGCTTCCAGTGTTGTTGAAGATCGAAACGTGTGGCCAAGCAAAAGTGACAGGGCTTCGTAAGGGTACTTCTTAGCAGTCTCGCCCTCTTGAGAATGAAATCTTGCGAGGCAAGCCATTGTGGATGCTCGTGCATCAAATGGACTTTGAGACCGGCAGGTGAAGAGCACCACTGTGAGCACTCAGGGCAGTGGTGACGAACCTCATCACGTAGCGCAGGGTCCTGCATAACGACCTGCCAGCCCCGGGTGCGAATCCGCTGCATGAGTTCAACCCGTTGCACCATTGGGACCACGGCAGCCGGACCAATGCGCTTTTGCCACTGTGGATCATGAGCTTCAGCCTGGGTTCCCGAACCAGGCTTATGCAGTCCGAGCTCAGTGACTGTGTCCTCTCGCTGCTGAGGTGAGGGGTTTAAGCCTGAGGTTGGGACCGAGGCACCAGCGAGGCAAGCCTGTGGTGCGGGCTGTGCGATGTCTGGTGAGTCGTCAGGCGGTGCAACAGTCTGCACCGTGGTGGTGAGTGCACTTGTGTCACTCGGAACAGTTGGCAAGGCATCAGCCGGACCTGTAGGGGCAGGAGGTTCGCAGGGCTCCGACCTCGTGGTTGGAGCAGAGGCAGAGGCTGTGTGGGACTTAGCAGGATGGATATGCGGATCAAGCTTCGGGCACCATCCTTGTTCAATGTGAGCACGGAGACCAGTCCACCTGGAAAAGCGTTTTTGGCATAGCCGACATATGGGAAGTCCCGCTGTGGAATGTTGCAAGCGATCGAAGCTAACCTGATGCCGTCGAGTTGGGGCTTTGAGGCCATGAGCTGTGGACTGATGCATCCTGAATAGTCGATAGTTCTCAAAGACCGCTGAACAATCGGGACATGTGAAGGTGTGTGCAATGGGAGGTGCAGATATGGATCCGGGGCAAGTGGTAGAAGCAGCAAGTAAATGATGCTGTTGCAACCAGTTCACGGTGTCTGGCTGTATCGCTCCTCCACATTGTAGCTGCTGCAAGTTGGCAAGTAGCCTTGCTTGAGACTGCTGCAGAACGTCGCGCATAGGTTTAACCTTGAGACGCGCGTAGAGCGCCTCAGTGGTTTCATGTGTGAGATGTGAGGGGGCTTTGGCGACTGCACGGAGCTGTCTGGTAGCGACAGCCTGGAGCTGATTAATTTGCCTTTCCGTCAGATTCAACACATGTAGGCCATAGGTTAAAACAGCGGGTATACAGGCTGCCCAGAGCTTGAGCCGGAGGCTCAATCTGGGGGCATTTGCACACGTGAGAAGTGGCCGAAGGTGTCCGTATGCAGTCCAGGCGGCTTGTATGCGGTGTGTGATGGAGCTTGCCGCTGGCTGTTGATAGGAGATAATGAGGCCTAAGTATTTGTGCTCATCTTTCACTGGAATGTGAAATTGACGTCCTGCTGGTGTCCGTAGAGTCAGGAGTAGGCCCTCCTTGGTCTGCCGAACATGACGTCTTTTCCACGTTGCAGCAAAACCTTTGGTGAACCGCAACAAGAAGGCTGACTTCAGGGTATTGATGTTAAGTTCAGCATCCATCAGCACATCAAGCAGGTGTCCCAAATTGATAAGGAGTTTGTCAAGTTGTGCAGTGGTTGTAATCAACTCACCACCATGGATATCATCCGCGAAAGCGGTGATCATAGCTCGGACCCAATGGTGATCTCCTATGCGGTCACCCAATTCATGCAGCAGCACAATTGTGGCCATGCTCCACACTAATGGAGAGATTCTGCAGCCCTGCCGTAATCCGCGCCCTGCTGGGATTCTCGCCTTCATCCCCTGTATCGTCAGGTGGTAGGTGAGACCTTTGTGCCAACAGATCACCAACTCGCGGACTGATGTCGGGACTTTGGCTAGCCGTAATGCCCTATCAATCAAGGCCCAAGGTAACACATCAAAGGCGTTCGATAGGTCTAAGCTCAGTTGTAGGCCTCCTCCTGATGCCAAGGGCTTGGCTGCAGGCGCGAAGCGAGAGTCGAGGATGTTGTAGGGTGCAGGGGTGCACATTTCAATGACCTTCTCACAATGTGCAAAGACGCGTGACAAAGCAGCGTCTGTGGATCTTCCTGGTGCATATGCGAACTGCGGTTCCGCTGCCAGGAGTTCGACCAAGTAAGGTCGGAGCTCTTTTTGGACCAGGCCGGCAGCAACACGTCCAGAAATTTCAGTGATGCCGAGTGGGCGCAGGTCCTTTGGTTTCATGGGATGTGTCACCTTCGGTAGCAAGCTCATCCAAGCATCGCGCCAGTCGGATGGCACCTGGTCAAGATGTGAAATTTTGTGATGTAACCATGGTGCGAGCTCTCGAGCACATAAGACCCAAGAACTGCTTGTCGCCTTGCCTGGAGGTGCAGCCTTATGTGGCGGTAGCTTCAGCAAGCCTTCAAGAACATCGGTGACAGTAAAGTCAGGGAAGGAAATGGTGGGAGATGTCGTAGGTAGAGGCGGACCAGTGGAGGAGATCGTGGTGTCAGTGGTGTCCGGAGAGGCATACAGTGCCTCATAGTGTTGTCTCAAGCAATCCAGTTGTTGCTGGGGCGTCCAGAGCTCGCCCTGGGGCCCTCGCAGTTGAAGGCGCGGGCGCCGTTTCTGCGGAGAGAGACTGGCGGCAAGACGGAATAGGGCCCTAACGTCTCCTTTGTCTGTGGCCTCTTGCATACTCTGTGTAAGTGCCTGCATCTGCGCCGTCTTGGCAGCCCGCGTGGCTCGCCTGAATTCGCGGTGTGCTCGCTTGAACTGGCTATAGGCTCGCCAGGCAGAAAAGAGTCGTTGCCGGCCTGGTGGGGGGTTCTTCCAGTCCTTGTAGGCGGCCCACATTTGTCGAACAGATAAAGAGACGGTGGGGTGCTGCCAGGCACCTGTCTTGGCGGTTGGCTTGGTAGAGGGGAAGAATCGAGTGGACACATCATGCAGGTACTGATTGACTTCAGAGATGGTGCGACAGGGATTAGCAGCAAGCCAGTTCCGTACATCCTGTCGGAAGGCCAGTGCCCTGGGGTCCACATCTGAGCGACAGACCCTGAGGAGCTCCGCTTTATCGATGGAAGACTGAGGCTGAGTTCGCCTTGTTGTGTAATGTCTTGTAGGGATCGGGACACTGAAGAGAACTGGCCAATGCCTGCCGCCACTTCGCCAACGCGTGAGGGGCCAGTCCACGGGACCAGCCTGCCGAGCTTCGGTGTCACTCTGGTCTTGCCGCAAAAATACATGATCAATGAGGGTGTTTCCCTGAGGCGACCGAAACGTCGCCCTAGCTCGCCTGGTCCACGAATTGAGGTGTAACAGCCTGAGGTCTTGGACGACATCCATCATTTCTTTAGAGTCTGGCTGTGATCTCTTCATGAAGGGAGCAGCTCTAGCACCAACCAGTCGTGCATTGGGTTGGAGGTTGGTATTAAAATCCCCAGCTACAATCCAAAGGCTCCGCCGTGGGAGGCTTCCAAGGAGCTGGCGCCAGGATCGCCAAACAGTACGTCGAAGTTGACGCGAGTCGTGGGTCTGCGGATCTTTGCCTCGGGTCAAGCTTGTAGTCCAAACTTTCTGATAAAGGTTGATCAGATCAAGCTGGCATGCAGAGCCTAGCTGGACGCGGGCGTGGAGTAGCCGACCTGATATGGGTGAGGCCGTGAGGATGGAATTTGCATCGCAGAGATCGACAGAAATCAATATGGCAACACCACCGGAAGCCGCAGGTTCGGCCGGTGTGGATACGACGTGCCACTGGTCAGTAGAGTAGTCGGAAGGTGTTCGCCAATGCGTTTCTTGCAAGAAAATCACGTGAGGTCGGACAGTGGGGTGTTGTTCCGCAAGAAAGTGCATCAGTTCCGCATACGCATCCTGACTGAGTCCCCCAATGTTATACGTGGCACACCGGAGGCGACCAGGGTCCACAAAGGAAGAAGCCTCGGATTGAGTGGGGGGGCATACTGACATTGGGGCAGGACTGCGGGGTAGAGCCTGCGCGCGAAGCGTATGCAAGGAGTGCCATCGACCCTTATAAAACGTGCCCTGCAGTGGGCTGGCTGTTGCTCGTTGAACTGCCCGATTATAGGCTCGCTTCCCCTGTGGGGTGGGTAAGGAAGATCGGGGTGTGGGAGAGTTTGCAGCGGCAACAGAATGTGCAGGGGTGGTCCATAGGTGGCATGCCAAAGCCAGCCGCCCAAGGATGCGAGTAAGGAATGGTAGTTGTTGATTTGGTCTAGTTCGACTTGCCAGGCAGGCTGATGCACGATGATGATAAGTAGGTGTTCGGGAAGGCTCCTCGCTGGAGCAAAAAGAGGTCCTTAAGGCAGGGGTCGTGGCTACGACCGAGGCCTGTGCAGGTACAGGCAGCCTGGGACACTGAGGAAGAGCAGAGGTAGTGCAGCTAAAGTGGCGGCTTCGTGAAGCGGCACCAGATTGGGTTATCCCGAGCTTCCCTCCACTGTTATCTGGACAGTTAGTGTGACACGAGATCAGCTTGAACAGCAACAGTGAAGGTTCAGAGTGCGGTGGGTTCCAGCACTCAACCCTCGGCTCAGTGGAGGAGTCACAAAATTCATCCCTGAGAGTCCCATGATGGACAAGGTGTCGGCATATATCGGTGACTTTCAAGATAGAATCATTAGCACCTCCATGCCCGGATTTGGGACCGGGCTCAGCGACTGAAGTAGTGTATATCGTTGGTGCGATGGGTCCATAAAGGAGGGAGAGACACAACAAAACATTTGATCGTGGTCTACACCCTAAGTGCAGACATGCTAGGGGTGCGGCAGCAATCGCACCGAGGCCACGGGACACGAAGTACGAGCCAACCTGAGAAAAGCGGTTGCCAAGAAGCCGAGCAGAAGACCACAACTCCAAAAAGAGGCAGAGGTGTTGGTAGAAGCACTGACTCAAACTTAGCTTGCCAGCATATTGAGGAGAGCGTGGCCGACGAGTTGACCTTGGCGTTCGAGTGGTAGGTTTAATTCTCGAAACGCGCAATTGACGTCCGAAGCACATGCGGGCAAGGGAGGGTATGCAAGAGGATGTGCAGGGGCTCGCCATATAATCCTCCATCGCAACTGCACTGTCGGTTGTGTCAGGCACGGATGAGGCCGACGTCTGGGTCTGCATGGACCCAGCACTGGCCGAAATCGAATCCCCTGTGGCCCGGGGTCTCAACAGAAGTCTCATCTAGGCCGATATTCAGCCACTTGCTTCGTCGCTTTGGGCGACTTGCCGGATCAGGCTTGTAGTCAGGGTCGTACACGTCGGCTGTCTGTGCAGGACGCGGCTTAGGACCGTTTTTGGATTTAGGTCCCCGCTTCTTCTTCGGTGGCTGTGTCGGTCCACGGATGGTTGCATCGCCTTTACTCGTGGTGGTCTTCTTGGTCCGCTTCACCGTCTCCGGAGGGTGAGTCTGCCCCCTTGCATCCGAAGTAGAAGTTGTAGGCAGCGGTACCGTAGTGACCACGGTGTCCTGGACTGGAGGCTGAGTCTCTAGAGCCGTGGATGTGATGACTTCCTGTGGGTCGGCACAGTCGGAGTTCAGTGTAGAGGGCTCCTTGGAGACTGTAGTCTGTGTAGGCGATGGTGGTGCAGAAGACCCCTGGGAGGACAGGCCTGCCTGGGCCGGTCTCTTCTTAGGCACTGGCTTCGGCAGTTGGTAGGAGATCCCAGCCGGGGTGATGCCCTCCGCAATCTCCTCGTTAGCCACTTGTGCCGGCCGTCGTCGAGGTAGAGGCGTGCGACCAAGTGGGTCATCGGTCTGGGAGCCAGAGGCCCCGGAGGCCTCGGTGGCTGGGGTCGAAGCAGCGGTGGCATCAGCCGGCGCCATCCCCGTTGCCATAGACGAGGCAGCATGTGTCGCTGGCGGCGGCAGTGGTCTCACTGACCGAAGAACCAAGTTGCCAACCGTCATTTCACTTGGGAACTCTCCAAGTTCGTCTGAAAAGGAAGAGAGAGTGGATGGGGAGGATTCACTCTCGCCATCTGTGCAGAGCTCAACTCCTTGATGCTGCTTCTTGGCTGGCCTGCTGACATGCTTGGCTCTGCGACGAGGTCGGGTCGTGGTCTCTGCATGCGCGTTGCTGGGCTTCACAGACGCGGGACACGGATTGGTATCCAAAGGCTGTCCGGTTGCTTTTGTCATAATGGCTGCACATCCAAGTCCGGCGAATGAAGTCTCATGAGAGGAGGAGGGGCCAGCAGACTCCCGTAAGTATGGGCGCAGATACACCGTCGTGGGAGGAGGGTGTCGCGTTTTCCACCGGATGAATTTGAGTCGCTGAATCTCATTGGGTGTGAGTTGTGCCTCGGCACTCGGCGGCCCAAAGGGCTCTACCCAATACTCTCCACCGGCTGGTTGGGTTGGCAACCCGTACATACTGCTCGGATGGCGTGAGCTTTCCACTGCGACTGATGTCTCAGTGGTGGCAGCAGCTGGAGCATCCCTGTCCGGGGAGATCGTCACGACTTCGGGCTCGAGGTCAATGTCCGTGTAGAGGCGATTCAGTTGACAGGGCCTCTTGCTTTGTCGCCGTCTCCTCCTCTCTTGTCTGTCCATGAAGTTGGGACTTCGCTCCACCAGTGGGGCGCAAGTGGGAAGGCTATGTCCGGGCAGGGCAAGATCCTGCCATGGGCCCCATTGGAAAAGGAAGACCTGGAGCGCGGGAGCATTGAGCCAACATCGACAGGGTAGTGTGGCTCAGGAAGTGTGGTCAGGCTGCAGCATGTATGCGGCATACGAAGCAGACGGCATCTTGAGAATCCGACCGATAGTGGCAGGGAAGGCCACCGGAATAGCCAGTGCTGGCCCCGCTCTTGGAGTGGACCTGAGGGATCAGAGCCAAAGGGAGGTGACCATAATCCGTGAGCACCGGCTGTGCTCGTGGAGGCAGGCCTGCTTTTCACCAGCACGGGGAGGTGCTTAGTCCGTTCTAAGTGTATGGGCCTATCACCGCAGGAAGGTGAGACCTCGCATTCTAGCTGTAGGCTCGCAAGGTCACTGCGATTGCTGATTAGAGGCTGTTGACGAGTCAGGGCGCATCGGGCTTCGGCTGCGACTCGTTCGTGGAGGTGGCAATGTACCTTGGACTGACACCTGGCTCGCTGCATCAGAACGGAGCTGAGCTTGCCAGCGTCGATAAGCCTGCTCTGCGACTTGGGCCGCATAGAGGAGGTCTCCCTCTGTAGGGGAGTCGGAGCCGACATCCTCCTGTCGAGTTGCAGCCCCTGTGTCCTTGTCAGGATCAACGAACACAGGGAGAGCTGTATTATCGGCTCGTGACTCTCGGTTGGTCCCTGCCATGGTCGCACTCGGCTGTTCGGCCATGAACCGCAAATACAGGTGGCACCAGAGGCTACTGGGGCTGACTTCGGCAAGCTCGGTGCTTTGAGGCCCACACGACTAGCGTAAAAAAGATGTCCGTGCTCGCCATGTCACAGATTGCTGATATATTGGGGAACCGCACTGGCGAAGAGCAGTGAGAGACCAAGGTGCCGACTTCCAGAGACCCGTTCGAGATGGCGTGCCCACCTCGGAGGCTGGCTGATAGAGCATATCAGGAGACAGGACGTTGCAAGTTGCCATACACCGAGCAGGGAGTGCATCACAAGCATGGTACTCAATAATTGGCGGCACTTTTTGCACCCGATGCATGGGGTAGATAGAAGGAAGTCTCGGCCCACCAAAAGGGATGCGGCATAGTCGGCTGTTACTCCTGCAGGAAGAAGAAGGGACTAGAAGTGTACAGCTACCATGTGGAGGATCCGTCATACGGATGCAACCGAATGGTGATGGCCAGAACCGTGCTGGGAGTCGCCGTTTCCAGCATCGAGACATCAATGGGTATCTCCAGGGTAACTTCTTGTCTGCCCTCGGAGCTAGTAAGAACTTGCCCCCGAACAGGCCTGGACGTTGCAGGAGGAACCTCCCAGAACATGGATTGAGGGCGCAGAGGGCTGCGGCTGCGCGAGCGCCGGTCGCCACTCCAGCTGTGTCTGGCACGCCGTACAGGACCAGGTGGTGTAGAACCGATGACCGTAGTCTCAGGTGTGCGTGGCATATGGATAGCACCGGCGTCCACAGGTGCCGGTGTCGGAGGGCCGGCCGGTGCTGTGGTCCGGTGTTCCACAAGGTCCGTGAGCGGTGCCCTATCGTCGAGTTCCGAGGAGGAAGGATCCGAGTTGACCATGGCACGCACAGAGAGAAGGAGTTACCACTCACAGCAATCCAGGATAGCCTCGGAAATACCTCCAGTCGAGCTTGGGCCCTAGCGTCAATATGGAGCTGGCATGAGGCACAGTGCCAAGCAGCACATAAGGTAGCTCCAGCCGGAGATAGAAGCACAGGCTGCAATGTAACGGGCTGTGAGGCCCCGACGTGATACACTGGCCACAGGTGGAAGAGGGTGCAGCACCTATTGAAGGCAAGCGAGGCGTGAGCCCTGAGGGTGTACATCGTCCACCCTGTTAAGGGCTGTGCACGTGGGAAGCCAATGGAAGACCTGGGAGCAGCACAAGATGCAAACTCAGAGCACAGATGACATGTACTCAACAGTGCAATGTCCCTGCAGGGTGGGCCAGTGCTCTTTTCATCGGCAGCGGGATGAAGTCGGGTTGGTGACGGCAGATAGAGGTCCCTGCAAAACGTCCTCCCTGGATCCCGGGAAGAGAGAAAGGCTCTAGCCTCCACAGCGGCTATGTGCTGCGAGAACGCTTGCCAAGAGAAATCAGCTAGATCACGGCGGTGGTGGTCGTGGCTTCTCCACCAGGGCACTGACACGCACGATGTACTGGATCCCTGGCGGGGGTATCGGCACCATAACTGGGGCGGTCTGCTGGGGCGACATGCTGCGAGCCGTAGCAGTGGAGACCCGTGGCACAGTAGAGGAAGGCCTAGCCACGGCATCCGCAACTGAGACTCCCATCTCCGCCGAGGCCCGTAAGGCTCGTCCTGGATCCGTCGTGAAGGAAGCAGGGATGGATCCTGTCGAAGTAGCTGGATCAGGTGGCGGGGGACCAGCCGGTCGCAAGTGGGAAGCCGAAGTTCCACCCAACCTTGTAGGCAGATTGACGGGAATGGGTGGTGGAGGTCCAGCGGGAAGAGAAGGCGCTGCTGGTCCACCGGAGCCGCTGGCTGGCTCTGGCTCAGAGTCTGGGGAAGGTGGAGACGAGGTCTCGCTAGATGACTCCTCCACTGCGGGGGCTGCCTTAGCCTTCGCTTTAGCCTTGCCACGACCTCGACTGCTTCCAGCTTCGGCCACTCGTCTCTTCGCCATTGCCCAGCACTCGGTTCAAGGGAGTGGGATCGGCCGCAAAAGTCCCTACGCAGAGCCCAATGTGCTAGAGGTGTCTCAAAGGAATGCTGCAGAGCAGGCTCAAGGGAGCGAAAAACATGGCAGGTCGGACTAGTCCAAAGTGGCGGTGCAAAGGCTGAGCTGAGGACGGGAGTCCAAGCGGGTAATGCAGAATCAGAGTCAGAAAGACCTGGATGCATGGGTAGCCATCTGGCATCAGTAGCATGCGAAGTAGATCGACCGTGTGCTAAGGGGGGAACGCCCGACGAGGAGACCTCAAGCCATGGGCGGTGCAACGGAGATGCTGGTATCATAGTCCAAGGCTTGGCATTACCAGGAGCTGAGCCCAGCACACCAGGCGAGGGAGCCTCAAACCTTGGTGGCATCAAGCAGTGAGAGCAATGAGGCCACAGAGGGGTGACCAAGGCGGCGGCCAAAGGCGAGGAGTCCTCGAACCTTGGTAGCACCACAGGGCAATGCCACAGGAGTGGACGTAGGTGTCCCGAGGAGCATGCAGTCGGCGAGGCCTCCTCGAACCTGTAGGCATGACCGAGGAGGCCCACAAACCAATCAAGTAGCGGTTCCGGCGGCAGCCGATTAAGAGCTTGACAGTCACCCGTAATATCACAGCACCTGAAGTGAGCATGGGGCCATACGATGTGTATAGCGGGGGGGCACCCTGAGCTGGGACAAGCACAGTACCCCAGAGCACAAGGAAGAGGCACAGAGGCGAGCCGGCTCAAGCAGATAGACACGTTCAATCTACATGTCAGAGTGCTGCACATCTTCAGTGGCATGCAGTGTGGGCTCCCTTTACTAAGCGTAAGCCTTGGTGACATTGCCACTCCTAACCTGCGGGGGGATCCTGCAGCTGACAGTGCATCAGTCCATGGTCTCCAGATGTATAATGCCTGGTAACCTGAGGTAGTTGCAGCACATGTGCTGCACAGAGGGGCAGCTGTGTCTGGCTGAGGCCACGGCGGTGGTAGGAACTCATAGTCATCCAGTGTGTCGAGCAGAACAGGTCGTGGGGTCGTAACAGGCGCTGCAAGCTGTAGATGAGCACTGCTACTCGAGTTTGGCAGTGCAATCTGTGGCTCGGAAGAGGCAGCGGCTGCAATTGACAGGCTCTGGGTGGCTTGCCATAGGAACGAGCTCTGGGCAATAGTCGGGATGGTGAGCCTCAGGCTGTCACTTGCAATATAGAGAAGCGGCAGTTCAGGCTGGTCAGGCGGACCGAAGGTGCTTGGCGTTGGCCCGCTGCCCTGGAAACTTGTACATATCAGACACAGAAGTTTGCAAAGAAGGCAACAGACTCGGCCCAAGCTTAGCCCCTTACCGGCTGCATTGCAGAGGTGCAGTCCATGGACTTTGTTGTGCCGCAGAGTAATGAAGTACTCACCATTCAGAGCAAGGCGCCGTACTCGACCAGGAGGTGCGAGGACCATGGCGTGCAGCCAGATTAACCCTGAAGACCAGAAGAAGCCCGCACAAGCCGCCAACAGCAAACCGCACCACACCACACCAGCCCCCGAACGAGGGGGACACGACTCACCGGTGGAGTCGTCTTCTTAGTCGCTGCTGAGCCTTGCATACGTACATACACACACATACATGCATACATGCATACATGCATACATGCATACATTACACACACCCACAGACACATGAATACATACACACACACATACATGCGTAATTACATAGACAAGTTTATTAGATGCTATGCATGTAGATAAGCAATCAAGTCAACATATCAGTACTTGGGTATATATATATATATATATATATATATATAATCACACCGGCTTCATTTGTCTATGTGCATTTCTAGACCCATGTATATCTTCGTATCTGCAAATCTATTTATAGACACATACGTGTGGATGTGTACACCAAGTGTGAATACACACACACACACGCGCGCACATATTTGCTTTCTGTACATATATATATATATATATATACACGCATATATATGTACATATACACATATTTATATACACGTACATATACATCTACATATGCATATAAATACATCCATGCATACATACATACATACATACATGAATACACACATGAATACATATATACATACATACATACATACATACACACATACATACATGCAGAAGGGTCCGTCTACATGTCTGGAGACTGCAGGCTACCCACCCTGGGCCGGCGCAGCTCCCTGGGCCGATCCGCATCTTGTCTCCCGAGCTTTCTTTTTTTTTAGGGTTTAGGGTTTAGGGCAGCTCCCTTTGTATCTTTTTTTGGGGTTTAGGGTAGCTTCCGTTGTATCATTTTCTTGTGTTTTGGTATCTTTGCATGCTTGTTGTTCTGCCGTTTCTAGGCGTGTTTCAGGACCCCTTTTGGGAAGGGCTTGGGTTTGGGCTTTACCTTTTCTTGGCTTTACGCGGCTTTGCAGGCTCGTCGACTGCCCTAGAGTTAAACGACTGTGAGTCCTCCGCGGACGTCTAGTCTTTTCTGGCCTGAGTGCAGGCAATCTAGGGTTGAAAGTTCATGAAACGGCATACTGTTTGCGGTTTTTGGAGGTCGTTGCCTACATTCAGGTTGATCAACAGGCATGTTGAAGACATCCCCAAAGTGTTCCCTCAAAGCAAACCCAAGCTCCATGTCGGGGTGAAGTTTTCAAACTTCTTCGTCTTTTTTGCGAGTTTAGGTTTTAGGGTTTAAGGTTTAGGGTTTAGGGTTTAAGGTTTAGGGTTTAGGGTTTCGGGTGCAAGGGATGAAGCCGGTACCTGCATCTCAGTTTGCAGGCTGCACTTCAGCAGTTCGGTTTTTGCACCAAAGGGTTCAAGAAGAGGTTTGGAGGGGTGTAGGGAATGCATGCTCGCAGGTTTGTGGACTTAGCCGCAACTTGCTTTGGATGCAGTTTATCACAGATATCTTCAGGCCAAAAATAGGGGCCAGATGATTTTCAATGCGGTTCCTTTAAACATTCCGTCTCAAGGGGTTCGATAACGATTACAGCAGAGGTTAGAGGTTAGACCCGAAGTCAGCACAGCTTTATGGGGGTGTATGATGAACACCAACCCTGAACCCTAATCCCCAAACCCTGAACCCTAAACCCCAAGTACTTAAAAGAACCAAGCTCTAAAACCCAAACCCCAAACCCTGAACCCTGAACACCAAGCCTGAACCCTAAACCCCAAACCCTGAACACTGCAGTTTCCATCTCACTCTAAGGTGGGCTGGTCAGTGGCAGGGGCAGCAGTGGTGACGTGAAAAGGAAAAGCTCCGGGTTTAGGGTTCAGCCAGTTTAGCTTTAAAGTCGAATTACCACTTTGAAAAATCGGATGACGTAGGAGTGGGGTTACAAGCAGCGCAACGTAAATGCCTAAACCATTGCGTGGACTATGATTTTGACTGTTACAAAGCTACAACAGCATGGAGCTGAACGGACCCCAAACCTTAAAACGCAGCACAGAGCTGAAAGGACTCCAAACCCTAAGCCCTAAACCCTAAACCCCAAACCTTAAACCCTGAACCATAAACACCAGGCCGTCGTACTTAGCAGTTCTTGTACTGAAGGACCGGCTCAAGCCCCTTCTTGCTGAGTCCTATGCCCCAGGGGGTTTTGGGTTTACGGCTTCAGGGTTCAGGGGTTTAGGGGTGTGGGATTTAGGGGTAAGGGTTTTAGGGTTTAGGGGTTAAGGTTTGGGGGCTAGAGGGTTTAGGGTTTCAAAGTTTACATAGGGTTTAACCCTAAACCGTAAACCTCAAACCCCAAAGCTATCCTGCCGGTCCCCCGACTCCCTGGCGCTTAATGGGGGAATGGATCTCTATAGTAGTCCCTGTATAATCCCCCCCCAATAATGGTCCCCATAATCCATTCCCACATTCCCTGCTAAGCACCAGGGAGTGCCCAACTT